CAAACAAAAAGCAAATAATCCAATTAAAAAATGGGCAGAAGAACTGAACAGATGGTTCTCCAAAGAAGAAATTCAGATGGCCAACAGATACATGAAAAGATGCTCCACATCGCTTGTCATCAGAGAAATGCAAATTAACACCACAATGAGATATCACCTCACACCAGTAAGGATCGCCACCATCCAAAAGACAAACAACAACATATGTTGGTGAGGTTGTGGAGAAAGGGGAACCTTCCTACACTGCTGGTGGGAATGCAAATTAGTTCAACCATTGTGGAAGCAGTATGGAGATTCCTCAAAAAGCTCAAAATAGAAATACCTTTTGACCCAGGAATTCCACTTCTAGGAATTTACCGTAAGAATGCAGCACTCCAGTTTGAAAAAGACAGGTGCACCCCTATGTTTATCACAGCACTATTTACAATATCCAGGAAATGGAAGCAACCTAAATGTCCATCAGTATATGAATGGATAAAGAAGAAGTTGTACATATACACAATGGAGTGTTACTCACCCATAAGAAAAAAACAGATCCTGCCATTTGCAACAACATGGATGGAGCTAGAGGGTATTATGCTCAGTGAAATAAGCCAGGTGGAGAAAGACAAGTATCAAATGATTTCACTCATGTGTGGGGTGTAGGAACAAAGAAAAAACTGAAGGAAAAAAGCAGCAGCAGACTCAGAAAACCCAAGAATGGACTAACGGTTACCAAAGGGAAAGGGACTGGGCAGGAGGGGTGAGAAGGGAGCGATAAGGGCAGGGAAAAAGAAACGGGGCCTTATGATTAGCATGTATAATATGGGTGGGGGGGCACGGGGAGGGCTGTCCAACACAGAGAAGACAAGTAGTGAGTCTACAGCATCTTAATATGCTGTTGGACAGTGACTGTAATGGGGTTTGTTGGGGGTGTACTTGGTGAAGGGGGGAGTCTAGTAACCATAATGTTCTTCATGTAATTGTAGATTAATGATAATAAAATGAATTTAAAAAAAACAAAATCACATGCAGATTAAATCCATAGCTGATCCATTCCATAGGCAGGCAGTAGCTAAGGATTCAGAGCAATCATCATGTGGCAGCTGCAGCCAGGAGTTTTATTCAGGCCATGCAGACTGTAGAAGAATATAACCTTAAGGGTGATAAGATACCTGTTTTAATGGCATAAGCATAGGCAAATCTTGTCTATCAGGTAGGATACATGCAAGAGAGTGGTCCTGTGATAAAACAGTGGCAGGAATGGGGTCTCATCCTGGTCTAGTATATCAGGCTTTCACCCCCCTCCCTGTGGGAGTTACAGATGGGTCGATATATAGGGCTATGGGAGGCACATGCACTGGCCATAAAGATCAAGCAAAACTTCCTCACGAGATGCTCTTACCTCATGGATGTTTTGGGTACACTACCATGACCTTTGGGGCCTTTCAGCTGTTACTCCAGGCAGACACACAAGGCCAGATTCCAGGCCTTTCCCCCAAGGTGCCAGAAGGGCCAGCCATTGCTGTTCCATGTGTCAAAATGTCCAGTACCACGCCCATTCAACAGTGTATCCAGGGCTTAATGCAGTAGGGGCTGGCAGTAGGATGTTGCTCTACTGGCCATATCCTGGCTTCAATAGCTCTTCTTTGGTTTGTATGTACAATTGTATAGGAGAGGCAGCAGGAGTGTGAGCATGTCCACAGGGCTCAAAGCTCCTTTACATGGCTTCTCATTCACATCCATAGGCAAACTGACCAACCCCATAGATTATTGGTGTCCGACTTCAGGCCAGATTTCAACAAACCATTGTACCTCTCTATCATGCCTGCCCCAGTAGGATTATATAGTATATGAAATTTCCACTTTATTCCTAATTGCTACACCCATTGTTGTAAAGCATGCCCAGTAAAGTGGGTGCCTTGATTGCTTTCAATCCCATAGGCTGCAAAGAGATGCCCCAGGCCCCTCTTGGTGGTTTGCTGATCTGCACGACGTGCAGGAAAAGGAACCAATAGTCCAGTAGCCATGTCCACACAAGTCATGGCATACCAATATCCTTCTGATATGGGCAGAGGCCCAATATAGTCTATTTGCCGCCTGACAAGGGATATTGGCCCCTTTACTATTGTCCCATGTTGCTGTGGGACTCAGTGTAAGTCCCTATTAGATCACACAAGGCACTCCTCCCAGGCTCTGCTGACTTCTTCAGAGGTCATTGGCAAGCCCCACTGATGGGTTACAGCCCACATTGTCTTTTGCCCTGCATGCAATAAATGCTAGTGTAGCCATTGGGCCACATCAGAGGCAGGCTTTCCTTCTAGCCAGTGCACCTGGGCCAGTGTGTCTGCTTTGTCATTCCCTAGGGATGCCAAAGGCAAATGGCCAGTCACATGACATACAGTAGTTGTCTGTGCCACACCATTCTGTGGCCTTTGGGTCCAGTCTTGCACCCACCCCGCGATGGGATAGGTCGTTATTACCTTGGTCAGAGCTGTTCCAGCAATGGGGTCTGTAGCCAGCAAGGCATGGTATAAAGCACCAGTTGCTTCTCTATCAAGGTATACTTGACCTCTGCTCCTTTCCATAGTTTTGACCAGAATCCAAGAGGTTGGCGTGTCCGTTCAAGCTGCTGCTAAAGACCACATCCTTAACCATCTTCAGTTACATCTACATCTAGTTCACAGGGACTTGATGAATCCATTACATTCAAGGTCTGTATGACCTTGACTGCCCACTTGGCAGCAGTAAAAGCAGCTGCACATGTCTCATCCCAGTCGCACCCGATGCCCTTTTGTACCAACCGGTATAAGGGCTTCAGAATTTGTACCAAGTGTGGGATAAACACTCTCCAGTAGCCTAGAAGACCCAGAAACTCTTGTAATACTGCCACAGTGGTGGGGCGGGGAAAGCCTGGACCTTGTCTATAACTGTTTCAGAACAACTTTTAGTTTTACCAGCCAGACAACCCCCAAGAATTTCACAGACAAACCATGTCCCTGAACCTTGGTGCTGTTCACAGCCCATCCTTTTTCCTGTAGATGTTGTAACAGTCTAGGAACTACCCCTTCTAAATCTGAAAGAGAATCAGATGTGAGCTCAATATCATCAATGTAGTGATACAACCACACTGTTTGTGGTTTCCTCCATGTGGCCAAGTCCTGGGCTACAAGTCCATGACAGATGGTGGGACTGTGGAGATATACCTGTGGAAGAACAGTGAATGTCCACTGCCGGCCTTCCCACTTGAAAGCAAACGGTTCCTGGCTTTCCTGTGCTATGTCAATAGAGAAGAAAGCATTAGCAAGGTCTGCTATATAATAATACATTCCCAGTTTGGGGCTGAGGGTGTCCAGAATGTCTGCTATCAAGGGGACAGCAGCATGCAAATGGGGTGTGACTTTTTTCAATTCCCTGTAGTCTACAATCATATGCCAGGAGCTGTCTGGCTTTCTCACTGGCCACACTGGGGAATTAAAAGGACTGTGAGTGGGCTTTATGATGTCTACCCTCTCCAACTGTATAGCATTTTCCACTATCTCGAAGAAAAGAGACCCTACAATGCCAGTCACTACATGGTTCCCTAAGTCTCCAAGCAGTCTTCCAACTCACGGAGGGCTAATTCTGCAGCTTCTGGTGTTTTCACCCTTCCCCAGTCTGGGGAAAGTCCAACCTCTCTAGGGGGTACTTTACTTAATACCAATTCCCCACTAGGGGTTCACAAGTTGGAAGTGCCACAGCTGGGGGGATAATAACAGGTGAAGCGGCACCCTCTGTCACTGCATCCACTGGGGCCTCCCCACCATCCACAGGAGCAACCCTCCCAAAGGTCGTACCCATTATGACAGATTTCAGGTTTAGAGGCACCCTGCCGACTGTGCCAGGTTAAGTCCGGGGAGAGGAAATCCTGGCAGAAAATACCTCTAAAAACTGAAATCAGTCAAAGGGAGAAATAAAGTTTAAAACCCGTTTATTGCTCACAAACTGTGGTCCCAGGCTATCTTTCTCCTCTGCTCTGGAAAAAGCCAGCAAGCAAGCAAACCAGCCCCCTCCCCTTAACCTCTCAGGTTCAGACATGCTCTCAGTTGCACAGGTAATTATCCATTGATATAGAGATGAAATTCTCTCCACCCCTGAGGATATGCAAATGAACTAAAGCCAGGTGAGATATTCTGGAAATGTTACAATTTTACCCACAGGGGCTTGGCAATGGGAGGTGCTGACCCTGGTCACATTGCTGCTCCAGTTTTGTTAGGGGGACATTGTTTATTTTTCTTAGTTCTTGTCCCTGCTGCAAAAAAATAATTGTTAAGGGCAGAGACACAGTAGTGAAGCAGAGTAAAAGTTTTACTTAAAGTTATGCACTTAAAGAGAGAAATAAGTGTGGGCACCTGTTGGGGGAAGTCAGTTTGGAAACACAGTGAAGTCAGAGCACAAGTTGAGGAAGGAATTGATTAAAGATTTGAATGTCAGGGAACTGCTACTTAGCATGGAGCACATCCCCTGCCAACTCCTTAAGCCAGTGTCACCTGGCATCCAGTGTCTACTTGGATCTGCATAGTGTGAGAAGTGAGCCCTTACCACCCCCAGGATTTGGGGGAGCCACAGAGCACTGAAAGGAGTGAGATTATGTTCTGCAAATTTCCTAGAGGCAAAGAAAGGAGACTCTCAGGCAGGCTACCAAAAAGCATGACTATAAGCTGCAGTTCCATCCAGGTCATCCAGGCAACAATAATTTGCAAGCCTAGACCTGAGCTCTCAGCAGCCCCTCCCCCTCCCTACTTATCTGAAATAGGAGAGAGAGAGTGTGAAGATCTGAGCTGAAATCTAGAGGATTAGAATGAAGCAAAGTAACAGCCTGAAGGGGCTGGATGGGCAAATTGGCCATGATGTCTAGAGCTTGGGCGCCCGAGGTGATTGAAGTGAGCGGCCACAGCCCCTGATGAAACTGTTTGTGGGCTGGCTGTGCCTGAGCCTGGCATCTGTGCGGGTGGCATGGAGGACGTGGATGCTGTGGAGACTGCTTACCTGCTCCCTGTACATGAACATGAGGAGTGGTCCCGGCAGGCCAGCTGCTGCTGCAGGTGGCAGGAAGGAGAATCACTAGTGGTATGTGTGCAACAGAGATAAATTAATGTGAATCACTCCAGGCTCTTTGTTCAGTTACCTTGATCAAGGAACACAGATCTTCTTAAACATCATCATTGAGAAATAGGGCTGGCTATTCATACAATTATATCACTCTTTTGTGTCATTTGTTTTTAGCCTGTTTATGTCTAGAACTTCTATCAATTGGTTGCTAGGAAGAGGTTCAATGTTTGTGTTTTCACCAGATCAATTCCAGAGACTGCTTAAAATTAATTCAGGCTGGAAAACTCATAGACTTCTTGATTTAGGTGCTGGAGATGGAGAAGTCACAAAAATCATGAGCCTTCATTTTGAAGAAATTAATGCCACTGAAACTATGATATGGAAGCTTCAAAAGAAGAAATACAGAGTGCTTGGTATAAATGAATGACAGAATACACAGTTCCAATACGATATTATCAGCTGCTTGAATTTGCTGGACTGCTGTAATCAGCCCCTGACTTTGTTAAAAGATATCAGAAGCATATTGAAGCCAACTAGAGCCAGGGTCATCCTTGCCCTGGTCTTACTCTTTCATCCCTTTGTGGAAAACATAGGTGGGTGTCAAGTGGAAGAAACCATCAGAAATTTTGGAAATCAAGGGACCGAATTGGGAAGAACAACTGAATAGTCTGCCTGAAGTTTTCAGAAAAGCTGGTTTTGTAATTGAAGCTTTCATCAGATTGCCGTACCTGTGTGAAGGCAATATTTGTAATGACTACTATGTGCTGGATGATGCTTTGTTCTCAAACCAGTTTAAAGACATGGGGGATGGAATCTGCGGAGTCCTCCCCAGGAATGTAAACTCTAGAAGAGGGTCTGCATCTGCGATTATGGGAAGGGAGGAACTTTGTGGATTGCTGTACTAAATATCATGTAGAAATTTAAAAAGCCAAAATATGAATTACTTCTTTGCAGGATGTAAAAGGAATGTTTTCAAAAAACAAAAACCCAACTCTCTAACGATTTTTTTGTACCATTCATCTAGAATGACATGAGGAACATTATGTTTACTAGATTCCCCCCATCACCAAGTCCCCCCTACAAACCCCATTACAGTCACTGTCCATCAGTGTAGTAAGATGCTATAGAATCATTACTTGTCTTCTCTGTGTTGCACAGCCCTCCCCATGCCCCCCTCACATTAAACATGCTAATCATAATGCCCCCTTTCTTACCCCCTCCCTTATCCCTTGCTTCCCACCCATCCTCCCCAATCCCTTTCCCTCTGGTAACTGTTACTCCATTCTTGGGTTCTGTGGGTCTGCAGCTGTTTTGTTCCTTCAGTTTTTTCTTTGTACCTACACTCCACACATGAGTGAAATCATTTGATACTTGTCTTTCTCCACCTGGCTTATTTCACTGAGCATAATACCCTTTAACTCCATTCATGTTGTTGCAAATGGTAGGATTTGTTTCCTTCTTATGGCTGAATAATATTCCATTGTGTATATGTACCACATCTTCTTTATCCATTCCTCTACTGATGAACACTTAGGCTGCTTCCAATTCTTGGCCATTGTAAATAGCGCTGCGATAAACATAAGGGTGCATATGTCTTTTTCAAACTGGGCTGCTGCATTCTTAGGGTTAATTTCTAGGAGTGGAATTCCTGGGTCAAATGGTATTTCTATTTTGAGTTTTTTGAGGAACCTCCATACTGCTTTCCTCAATGGTTGAACTAATTTAAATTCCCACCAGCATTGTAGGAGGGTTCCCCTTTCTCCACAACCTCGCCAACATATGTTGTTGTTTGTCTTTTGGATGGTGGCGATCCTTACTGGTGTGAGGTGATATCTCATTCTGGTTTTAATTTGCATTTCTCTGATGACTAGCAATATGGAAGCATCTTTTCATGTGTCTGTTGGCCATCTGAATTTTGTCTTTGGAGAACTGTCTGTTCAGTTTCTCTGCCCATTATTTAATTGGATTATTTGCTTCTTGTTTGTTGAGGTGTGTGAGCTCTTTATATATTTGGATGAAACCGTATATCAGATCTGTCATTTATGAATATATTCTCCCATACTGTACAATGCCTTTTTGTTCTCTTGGTGGTGTCCTTTGCTGTATAGAAGCTTTTCAGTTTGACATAGTCCCACTTGTTCATTTTTGCTTTTGTTTCCCTTGCCTGGGGAGATATGTTCATTAAGAAGTCAATCATGTTTATGTCCAAGAGATTTTTTCCTATATTTTTTCTAAGACTTATGGTTTCATGGCTTAAATTCAGGTCTTTGATCCATTTCAAATTTATTTTTGTGTATGGGGTTAGACAGTGATCCAGTTTCATTCTCTTACATGTACCTGTCCAGTTTTGCCAACACCATCTGTTGAAGAGACTGTCATTTCCCCATTGTATGTCCATGGCTCCTTTATTGTATATTAATTGACCATTTATGTTTGGGTTAATACCTGGACTTTCTATTATGTTCCACTGGTCTGTGGATCTGTTCTTGTGCCAGTACCAAATTGTCTTGATTACTGTAGATTTGTAGTAGAGCTTAAAGTTGGGAAGTGAGATGCCCTGTGCTTTATTCTTCCTTCTCAGGATTGCTTTGGCTATTCGGGGTCTTTGATGGTTCCATATGAATTTTAAAACTATTTGTTATAGTTCATCGAAGAATGTTGTTGGTATTTTGATAGGCATTGCCTTGAATCTGTAGATTGCTTTAGGCAGGGTAGCCATTTTGACAATATTAATTCTTCCTAGCCAAGAGCATGGAATGAGTTTCCATTTGTTTTTGTTCTCTTTAATTTCTCTTAAGAGTTTCTTGTAGTTTTCAGGGTATAGGTGTTTCACTTCGTTGGTTAGGTTTATTCCTAGGTATTTTATTCTTTTTGATGCAATTGTGAATGGAATTGTTTTCCTGATTTCTCTTTCTGTTAATTCATCATTAATGTATAGGAAAGCAACAAATTTCTGTGTATTAATTTTGTATCGTGCAACTTTGCTGAATTCAGATATTAGTTGTAGTAGTTTTGGAATGGAGTCTTTAGGGATTTTTATGTACAATATCATGTCATCTGCAAATAGTGAAAGTTTGACTTCCTCTTTACCAATCTGGATGCCTTTTATTTCTTTGTTTTGCCCGATTGTTGTGGCTAGGACCTCCAGTACTATGTTGAATAACAGTGGGGAGAGTGGGCATCCCTGCCTTGTTTCTGATCTTAGAGGAAAATCTTTCAGTTTCTCGCTGTTAAATGATGTTGGCTGTGGGTTTGTCATATAATGCCTTTACTATGTTGAGGTAATTACCCTGTATACCCATTTTGTTGAGAATTTTTATCATGAATAAATGTTGAATTTTGTCGAATGCTTTTTCAGCATGTATGGAGATGATCATGTGGTTTTGTCCTTCTTTTTCTTGTTGTGGTGGATGACATTAATAGATTTTCGAATGTAGTACCATCCTTGCATGAATCCCTGAGATGAATCCCACTTGATCATGGTGTATGATCCTCGAGGTATTTTTGAACTTGGTTTTTGTTGAGTGTTTTTGCATCTATGTTCATCAGGGATATTGGTCTGTAATTTTCTTTTTTGGTTGGGTCTTTGCCTCGCTTTGGTATTGCAGTGATGCTGGCTTCATAGAATGAGTTTGGAAGTATTCTTTCCTCTTCTGTTTTTTGGAAAACTTTAAGGAGAATGGGCATTATGTCCTCTCCCTATGTCTGATAAAATTCAGTGGTGAATCCATCTGTCACAGGCATTTTTTCCAGGTAGCTTTTTGATTAGTGATTCAATTTCTTTGCTGGTAATTGTTCTGTTTAAATTTTATGTTTCTTCCTTGGTCAGTCTTGGAAGGTTGTATTTTTCTAGGAAGTTGTCCATTTCTTCTAGGTTTTCTAGCTTGTTAGTATATATATTTTCATAGTATTCTCTAATAATTTTTGTATTTCTTTGAGGTCCATAGTGATTTTTCCCTTCTCATTTCTGATTCTGTTGATGTGTGTAGATTCTCTTTTTCTCTTACTAAGTCTGGCTAGGGGCTTATCAATTTTGTTTATCTTTTCAAAGAACTAGCTTTTGGTTTCATTGACTTTTCCTATTGTGTTATTGTTCTCAATTTTATTTATTTCTTCTCTGATCTTTATTATGTCCCTCCTTCTGCTGACTTTGGGCCTCATCTGTTCTTTTTCCAGTTTCAGTAATTGTGACTTCAGATTATTTATTTGAGAATGTTCTTCCTTCTTTAGATAGGCCTGGATTACTATATATTTTCCTCTTAGAACTTCCTTTGCTATGTCCCACAGAAGTTGGGGCTTTATGCTGTCATTGTCATTTGTCTCCATATATTGGTTGTTCTCTGTTTTAATTTGTTCATTCATCCAATCCATTGATTATTTAGAGTATGTTCTTAAGCCTCCATGTGTTTGTGAGCCTTTTTTTTTTTTTGTATGGTTTATTACTAGTTTTATGCCTTGGTGTTCTGAGAACTTGGTTGGTATAATGTCAATCTTTTTTAATTCACTGAGGCTCTTTTTGTGGCCTAGTATTTGGTCTATTCTGGAGAGTGTTCCATGTGCACTTGAGAAGAATGTGCATCCTGCTGCTTTTGTGTAGAGTTCTGTAGATGTCTGTTAAGTCCATCTGTTCTAGTGTGTTGTTCAGTGCCTCTGTGTCCTTACTTATTTTCTGTCTGGTGGATCTGTCCTTTGGAGTGAGTGGTGTGTTGAAGTCTCCTAGAATGAATGCATTGCATTCTATTTCCTCCTTTAATTCTGTTAGTATTTGTTTCACATATATTGGTGCTCCTGTATTGGGTGCGTATATATTTATAATGGTTGTATCCTCTTGTTGGACTGAGCCCTTTATTGTTATGTAATGTCCTTCTATATCTCATTACTTTCTTTGTTTTGAAGTCTATTTTGTCTGATACCAGTACTGCTACACCTACTTCTTTCTCCCTATTATTTGCATGAAATATGTTTTTCCATTCCTTGACTTTTATGTCTTTGGGTTTGAGGTGAGTCCCTTGTAAGCAGCATATTAATGGGTTTTGCTTTTTCTTCCATTCTGTTTCTCTTTGTCTTTTGGTTGGTGCATTCAGTCCGTTTACATTTAGGATGATTATTGAAAGATACATACTTATTGGCATTGCAGGCTTTAGATTTGTGGTTACCAAAGGTTCAAGGTTAGCTTCTTTACTATCTGTCTAAAATAACTTGTTTATTAAGGTTTTATAAGCACAGCCTGATCATTTTTTATTTCTCTCCCTTCTTATTCCTCCTCCTCCATTCTTTATATGCTAGGTATTTTATTCTGTGTTTTTTTATGTTTCCTTTGACTGCTTTCATGAGTAGTTCATTTTATTTTTTGCTTTAGTTAGTATTTTGTTGGTCTGCTTTCTTTGCTGTGATTTCATTTTCTCTGGTGAAATCTATTTAGCCTTAGGAGTGCTTCCACCTAGAGCAGTCCCTTCAAAACACCCTGAAGAGGTGGTTTGTGGGAGGCTAATTCCCTCAACTTTTGCTTGTCTGGGTATTGCTTAATCCCTCCTTCCTCTTTAAATGATAATCATGCTGGATACAGTATTCTTGGTTCAAGGCCCTTCTGTTTCATTGCATTAAATATATCATGCAATTCTCTTGACATAGAGATACATGTAGGCCTGTAAAATTTCTGTTGAGAAGTCTGATGATAGCCTGATGGGTTTTCCTTTGTAGATAATCCTTTTTCTCTCTCTGGCTTCCTTTGATACTCTGTCTTTGTCTTTTATCTTTGCCATTTTAATTATTATATGTCTTGGTGTTGTCCTCTTTGGTCCCTTGGACTTCTGTGGGCCTCCATGTTCTGAGAGACTATTTCTTCCCCCAGTTTGGGGAAGTTTTCAGCAATTATTTCTTCAAAGACACTTTCTATCCCTTTTTC